TCGCCCCGTATGTAAAATCATCCTACATCAATATAACTGTATTCATTCAGACGGGTTTTTTTTGGAAGTGTTACAGAAACAATCCATTTAGGTTGACAGCTATTGTGGATTAAATGGAAATTTCGACAAACCGCTGACATGTTACATTTTGCTTGGATTAACAGAAAGGCATGCATGTCTGAAAGATGTAACTACCCACTTATTTTAACCTGACTTTCAACCATAAAAAAGCCCTTAAAAACCACACCCATAGTTTTACAGTTGTGACAGATGTTACTAGAGTTACACACAGCTGTTTGAGCTATAGCTAACAGTCATATGGATTATTATAGAAGTTTGTGTTATAGAGGTGCATGTAAAGAGCATATGGCCTGTCAGTGTTTGTAGTTGAGCACCTGTATTCATTATCAGTGAAGAGGTTCACATTCCAGTGCACTAATTACAGAGTAAAAACATAGAGGGCTTTGATTTCACTACACCCTCACTGTGCTGCAACCACACGGCTGCCCCCCTGCCGCACCATTTCAAAACTCAGACATACATGTCTGTGCATCCTTTATTTATTACTAAAGTTCCAGCCTCCCGCGAGAAGCTATTTCCACATTGGAGTCGCTCTTACACAACATTTCAAGCTCAGCAGAAATTGTTATTGCTTTGGAACAACTCGTAGTTGTTTGGCAGTTTCTTTACTCTCTAGATTGCCTCTTTGCTTTCAGTCATTAAATCTTTTAAATCCAATTAAATTGATATTTCGTACTGGTGCCTAAAGCATAGGTATAAGTTTGTTCCCATTTGTTCATGCAGTGTTTAGGCAGATAGGGCCAAGCATGTTTACTGCTGTCAGGGGAGTCTATGTTGGTAGCTCATGGGAGTCTAAACAATATTGCAGAAGTTCCCAACCGTGGCTTCTACTGTCCTCTCCTGGACTACTCTATGACTGATGAGATAATCATTCGAAAGAGTAGTACCTTAATTATTGAAAAAGAGAGTTGGTCTAGTTTTAGCCATGATAAAAAAATAATAATATTGAGTTATAGTAAGCTGAGGTGTGTTTTTTTTTTTTTGTTCTTAATTTGTACTTGAAGAACCTGCAAAAGAGGTTTTACTGTTTTACTTTTACTTTTATATGATGCCATAATTAAAACTGCACCATAGCGCCATAATTTCAGCTAACAGCAGTTGGCAGAGGTTAAAAGACTCTAGATTAAACACCCAAGAAATTCTTCCTGTTATGCAATCGCTTTCTGGAAATGGTGGTAAGACTGCTCATTTTTTCCACCTATCTGATCCACTTCTGCAGTAGTCACATTCTAAATTTGCTACAGTCCACTCTAACACAGAGTTATCTCTTAGTCAAGCAGAAGTTTGTAATGCATTTGAGGTCCCAGTCTTAGACTGGCCCTGCCTCATGGTGTTTTATGCAGCTTTTTTTCTTGCTCTTCTCCAGTAACACTGCCTGATCTCAGGTCACAAGGGTCACAGCATATGAGCAGACATCTGGACTAGCGAAACAGTCCCAACATCACCACTGGGATTCAGAGGAATCAGTTTTATCAGTGTGAGAGAGAATCCAGAATGACAGAAGGATTTTGTAGCCCCTTTAACAACCAGACTAACTTTTTTTCTGATATCCAGACTGCATGTATAATTTGGGCTTTCCCAGATCCTGTGGGTGCTGGTGAAACCTAACCTGGCCTGGTCCAGATCAAACTCTGGCAGCCTGCCGTGTTGCAAGCACCAAAAGTTTATCACTTCCCTTGAGCTCCCATCTCACATCTTCTTCCCCTTTAATATTTTTTCCTATTCTGTTCTCCAAAGGTTTGTCTTTATATCCCTTCTGCCCCTATTCTCAGTTTTTCCTGTAACAGTTTTATTATAGATGTAGTCTATCAATTTTTTCTTTGCTCATTTCTTTATGGACAGGGCATAGATGAGTTGAAATCAAACTTGAGTGTGATACACCTTAATTGATGGTGCTTTTTAAATCGAACACACTATTTACTCTGTGGGACTAAGTCATCTCCGTTGTCAAAACAATAAGACGGGAGCCTTTTAGTTTGGCTCTTTACCCTGATGCAAGACTGTATGGCTAAAGTCACAATTGAAGGAATTTGCCATGTTGGACCATTTATGTCGGAAATGTGGTCGTAACCTCATGTACCAATGCAATGGACTTTTACCATCTTTATGATCCTGCTCATTAAAATTAACTGTCTGGTTGTAAAAAATAGACTTCCCCTTTATGTTTCCTTCTGGATTGTCTTATGTACTTCAGATCTAACATGAGAAATTGCTCAACTTTCATTCCTCCCCCCTTGTGATTCACTTCTTCTTTTTCTTCAATCATATTTTTTGTTTCTCTCCTTTTTTGTCAAAGCACTTGGCATTCCAAGAGGGAAGGCATGGGCAGATCAAGGCTCTCACTGTAGCAACCAGTCCAAATACGCAGCAAAACACATAAATCATAAAACATTCATACTTGGGGAAAATTGCACTATATGAAATACTACAGTATAATAGATAGGTATAGGTAACTGCCTGTTGTAGATTAGGTTATTACTTCTCTACTTAGTGTTTTAATTAAATGTCAGTCTGTCTGAACAGCTATAAATAAGAGTTTTTAAATAAATAGCAAGTCATCAAACTCATCCAGCTATTAATTTCTTTTAAGGGAATATCCATATCTCTTAAAAAAGGCTTTTAAATCTGCCCAGTCAAACCTATGCGTTTTATTCAACCTAGCAACCCCCTTCCTATAGGCTTTTTTTTTAACACAGTCTGTAGGTTCGCCTCCACATCTCACCATCTATGAGATGACAGCCCATTTTGTCGGTGGCCCATTCAAGCCCATTACCACAAGGGTCTGGGAGCGGGCATAGCCTTGCTAAGCCCTGAAACACTCCTCTGCTATCCATAAAAATACAAAGAATGGGGCTCTAGCCTTCTACTGCACATTCCTTTACCTTTTTGACATCTTTGTGGATGCCTGACATTTGTGCTTTTATAGGTATTGGAGGTCAGGTGGACAAGGTCTTTCGTATTATTTAAACAAGAGTGCTTGTCTCGTTTGCAGAATCACCAACCTGCCCTTGCCTTCACCCTCTCCCGGGTAGCTCTGGGCCTATAAAGCACAAGTACAGAGAGAGTAGGATGTGGGTGAAGAGCAAATGGGGGAGCCTTGATGAACTTGCAGATTTCATCACCTCTTGGTATACTGTATCTCCATTAGCTTTCACTGATGATTGAAGAAGATGCTCCAAGCAGTGTGTTTTAAAGAAGCCCCAGGGTTTTCCTTGGGTCTTCCGTCTGTAGAGTTTATGACTTGCAGGGCTGACTCCAAGGCCAAGCAAATCTGCCAGAGCAATATAAAGGATATCTTTTGCTCTTCTTCAGCCAACCAGTATATCTTTGTATTCACTGAGGCCGTGTTAACAGAAACTAGAGCTTTTTGTCTGCACAAATCCCCCAAAACAGGGCCTTCACTCACAACCAACTAAAGCTTTGGGTCTTGTTTTCTACAACTGGTTGCTGTGAAAAGCAACATAAGCAGTTTCCTAGCCAGGGGCCTGACAGTTCCCCTGCTGCCATAAGTTCTTATATTCATCCCTATTATCTTCTACTCCCTGGGCCTTTCTGCTTGGTCCCTGGCTTTTATGACAGGGTAGAAGAGGGCCATGAGGAAATGAGGTGACCCCGGGGTTACGAGTGGAGTCAGGGGGCTGGAACTGGACCACGGCATTGCCAACCTCACTCTCTTAGGGCCAGTTCGGGTCGAAGTAGGGCAAGCAAAGGAGACAGGGGGAGACTGAGGACAGAGTGCCTTCCATCCTTGACCCCTTCATCATATGACTCTAATTAAGCCAGATTTGAATTTGTTTACAAGCCCCTGTGGTCTTAAATCTTCTTGGTCTTTGCCTCCTCCCAGTACCCCCTGTTTCACCATCATCTCATACCTTGAGTCCTTCTTTTCTTCTTGTCTTTAATATGGTGTCAGACATCTATTTATTATCCTGTTTTTACTAGTTTTCAGGAACCAGTTACAAGCTATTTGGGAATCCACCAAATAGGATTTGAGGGACACCCCTCTAAGATGTTAATCTGTTAGTGATATGAAAGGCCGCTCACCCCACTAAACTTCCCCTCCACTGGAACCTGGGGGCTCTTTATGGCCCCATCAGGCACCCGCGTGGACGACTTACTGCTGACCTTGTGACCTAGAAGTTGAAGCCATATGAGGAGGGAATCTTTCTCTTGTCCCATTACTGCCTGCTTTTTTTACTTGTGTCTCAGAATTGATAATGTTATTTAAGATCTTCAAGTTAGATTTTGTCATCTTGTTAAACACAGTTGTCATCATCTCATTTCACATGTAACACTTTAGTTATTTCATCATGTTTTGTCTAATTCCAAGGCATACAGTGGTGTTAAATGAGGAGTCTTAAATGAGTACCTGAAGCTCTTTACCCCTAACAAGCATGATTTCTATTCATTCTTTCAAGATTTACACACAGCTCACCAGACTTTATTAGAGAGGTACCTGCATGTTTGCTGTACAACAAAAAGTCACTCGACTGGCTCCATCATATTAAAAATTTACACGTAACTCAAGAGCTGTTACTATAGGCTTGCTGGCATGCTAGTACCTGAAATGCTTTGTGCAAAAGGCCTGGTCCTGGTGTGTTGCATGGTTAATTGGATCAGTTGGGTTAAATAAATGTTTGAGTTCTCTCCTGCACTGAGGGGACCTGGTGGAAGGAGCCTCTCATCATAGTGGAGGAGGGAAAAAAGAGAGGGAAGAAAATAGAGGGAAAACAAGCTCAAATTTGTGCTTTTGAAGCCATGTCAGAGTATAGCCTACACAGGAAATGAGGATAGAAATTAAAGGAAACCAACATCTAGCTATGATAACAGTCCCTATGCAGAGTTAACATAAGTTAATGGAGCTGATGATCATAATATTTAAAGTAACTGAATTTTTAATCAGAAATTTCTTGTTGCAGGTTTCAGATCCAAAGAGGAACCACTGACCCCACCAGCTACAAGAGCCTGGGTCACTGCTTCAGGACAATTTTCCAGAGTGAAGGGTAGGTTATCCTCAGTAGTGATTCAAAATAACACGGGAAGCCACTCATGAGTCTTTCTGTTTTCCTGCACATGAAAAACACAAAGGTTGATAGTGCCATTATTTGCCTATAAATTAGTTTCTTTATAATAGTTCCTTGAGGGGCAAAAGTCAAGCACAAACTCAATGAATGCATCTTTATTACAACAACCTAGAACAATAAAATGTATTGTAACATCAAGGCAAAACTTTAAGTTGGCCACCAAAAACTTGGTGTTTGCTTATGCTGTTGTGTTTTTATGTCTTTAATTCTTAGGAAAAGCTACTGTTGCTGTCACACTTAAAGCATATCAGGGAGAAAAGTATGTAGTCAGCTATGCTGTGAGTGACATTTCTTCCAAACATGCTGCTTTATTTAAATGTAACCAAAAGTTCTGTGGTTTGGTGGCTATAAGGATGTGAGCATTACAGTTTGGTTTCCTTAAAAATGGCTGATGTGTCTGTCAGCCTCCAAAAATATCATGCAGCAAACCACTGAACATACCTTATTATACGCTGTATCTCGTACAGGATACGAGTAGACTAACTAAAGACAGCCATCCTGCCATGCTCCCTCCTCGTCTGCCTGCCCTGTCACAGGTCTGTGAGATAGAGCAGGCGTAGGAGAAAGTGTTTGCCACTCGCTCTGTTTACGATGAGCCGACAGCTTTACTGCGGATATAAAGTTGATCTGCTGCAAGGTGTGAGTGAGCGCAAGGCAAGAGGCTGGCTTGTGACAGTTAGAAATCCTCAGTTGGCTGGAGTTCAACACACACACTTATCCTGTTACAGTAGCCGTGCCCTCGTCACCCCATACGCATGCTGACAGTGTGACATTTAACGCTTCTTTGCCTACTTTTTGGGTGTGTCCTGCGGGACTAACCTTGTACGAATTTCCAGAGAACTCTTTTGGCACATAAAATGGTTGACATAAAGCGTGGCGTTCACAATATCAACATAAGCTTTTGAGTGCTGTTTGAGTATGATCTCATCTAACAAAGTCGAAATGTGCCGCAGAATCACTGAATACGGAAGATCCACTTCCTTGTCGACCAATTATCATTAACAGTATATTTTTGCTGAGTATGTAATCACTCCCCAGTAGCACATTGAGGATTACCTACAGGCCAAACCACTTAGTTATAATTTATATAAATAGTGTTAGGCCCCACTGTTGTAGAATTATTATTAAAAATAAACTTCTCCCGTCAGCTCGTGGCAGAACAGGGCCAACACCAGACCTCTCTCTCGCTCACTCTCTCTCTCCCTCTTTGAGGCGGTGAGGGAGGAAACCTGAGCTCTAAAGTTGAGCTCAGTGACTAAGCTGAAGAAAGACACAAGCCTGGACACAATAGCTGCACCTATAGTATTTAATTTCATACACAAGGAGATGCACGTGAATACTTAACACGAATTAAGAGTTATATCTGTTAAAATTTTACATTTGCCATCTCTGAAATATAGCATGAAATCCTGTAGCTGTGCTCATAAGTGTGTGACCGTGTGAACTACACTGACTAACACTTGGTTGTGTATTGCCTTACAGTCTGCACTTCTTTCTTTTTTTGCATGTGGGTGCAGCAGCGTGAGCATGTGTTAAGTGTTTCCGTCTGGAGGCAAACAAAAAGACTCTATTCTCTAGCATTCTTTGCTAGTGTGGTATCCAGAGACTGGGTCGGGACCCAAAGCGCGGCCATGGTTATATTAAAAGGGTCCATGCATTACATGAGAACGGTGGAAATACTGAAGATGAGTGACTAATGCCTGGAACTAACACTGTAGGGTTGAGGGATGTAGGGTTGAATCCAGCTGGGACCACCCATGCAAAACATATGTATACATTCATGGTAGTGTGAAGAAGAGCAGATACAATTATGATGATCCAGATCATGTATGAAATGCGACGGTGAAAGGAATAGGTTAAAGGAATATTTGGCATTTTTGGAAACATGCATAACTGGGATCTCTGAAGGGAAATTTAAGTTTTGTAGCTTATAAAGGAAAAATAGTCCAAGATTATTAGTGAGCTTTTGATGGAGATATAGTAAGGAGGTAAAGAGATATTGTCAAGGCCAGCTGCTTTCTTCTGTTTTTAGTTTTGATCCTAAACTGACCTACTTGCATTGCATTTATAAAGGAAAATACACATATATCTAATCCTCAATTCTATTTATATAGTGCCAAATCCCAACAAGAGCTGCCTCAAGGTGCTTTATAATGAAAGGTAAAGACCCAATAATACTAGAGAGAAAACCCCCAAAATCATACGATCAACTATGAGGAAACATTTGGCAACAGTGGGAAGGAAAAACTCCCTTTTAAGTGGAAGAAACATGAACCAGGCTTAGGGTGGGACAGCCGTCTGCCGCGACCGGTAAGGGGTGAGTGGAGGGAGTCAGGACAAAAGACACAACGTGGAAGAGAGCCAGAGATGAATAAAAACTAATGATTCAGAGTCAAAGCAAAAAAGAACAGTATACTGTTAAACTACTGTTAAACTTACTTATCTTACAGACTGTGCTAGATTAATCCAAATCTCAAACCCCTGACAACCACAACATGTGCTATAGCGTCATTTTGTTACAGCAGGTAAAAGTGTTTATCGTACAATCTCTTACGTCAGTAACACAGGGGGGGGGTTTATTCTAGTTATAGCTATTCGTGACTTAGGTGGCATCTAAGTTGCATAAACGGAAGCAGTTTTGGTGGATTTAATCCTGGCCACTGGGAATTCTGTTATTTAGTTCCTGTTGGGAGCAATGTCAAGTTTTAACAGGCACTAGGAAATGCTAAAATATTCACTGTGGAACATTTTTCTGTCAGTTTCCTCAAAGACTGAAAATAAAATGTGTGTTCCAAAATGTAAATAGCAGCAACTTTCCAGGTTTGCACATTTTCACTGTTACGCTATTTTTGTCTGTTTTTATTTCTGTCACTGGTATCGCTGTTAGTGGATTTATTTAGTTAGTCTTTTTTGTGTAGTTGTGTCACTGACACGCTTCTCTCCAGATGGATGAAGGCTGTTAAAAAAGGAAAGGTTTATGAAAATGAAAGCCAAATTACACACACAAGCATACAAGTACACCCACCTAATGCTGGGATACACATGTCCCTCATCCCTCGCTCTGTGTCAGGAGGCCATTTGTTTAGGAAAGACAAAAAGGGACTTAGTGTGTACTTTACATTGGCAATCAAATAAGGATTCAAATGATGGCCACTCACTAGAGGCCATATTTGTTCTGTAACAAATTTCACTCCTCCTTCATCACCTGGTGGCTCCCCAGCCTGACCACACCCGGGAAATCTGTGGCCACCATTTGCATGGACAAAGAGAGGAGAGGGAAAGGCCTTCCGTCTGACTGAAATAACTTGTTTACACAAACCATATAAGAGATTCATTTTTGGCTTCCAGGCAGCAATTTGATCAGCGACAATCCCTTGCTCTGGCATGATAATGCGGCCTCAATTACCCAGAGCCAGCGCTGCTTGTGTAGCTTCAGGTGTTGATCAAACAGGCTGGATCACCTGATGAAAAGTCTTTTGATAATTAGTTGTGGTTTTCTGCTGTTTTTGCTAGGCGCCATCGCCGCTGTGGATTCTGTGCAAGCGTAATCGCCTGTCGGTCTCAGGTTATAGTCAGTGGAAATGTGTTCCAGCAGCAAAAATATTTACACTTGTACCCAATCAACCAAGATCATCTCTGTTGACTTTTAGAGAATGTTGCCACAACAGAGCTGGTGCTGCTGTTCACAGGATACAGTCGGCCACACCAGGTTGTCCTCTTTGACTTGTATTCAATATCAGTTTGCTCTCTCTGATAGTTTCGCTTTCCCTTCGCCACAACAAATATTTAATGACCATCTGTACATTTACAGAATATTATTATCTATTATTTTTTATTTTTAGATAAAGAAATTATTTTTGGTAATAAGGCTACTCATGGTCTTCATTTTTTTATTTGTCAGTAAACTCCTTGGAAAGGCCTAAAAGATTAGTTTTTGACTCCTTAGTCCCATTAATTGCTGTCAGGGTGGCGTGTTTGTTTAGATGACAAATGGGGGGGAAAAAGGCTAGATGATTTCCTGAAACAACTGAGAAGTGTTTATTATTAAATCAAAATACCGAGTAAATGGTGTCTTTTCTCTGAACCTTTTTTTTTAGCTTTGCATCAACCCACATTTGGAGCCTCTACTTAAGTCTCTATCTGCAGGTCGAGAAAGAGAAATTCTTATTTTGTAGCATAGCAAAGACTTTGTAATATCAGCCTTGAGTTTAGAAGTAAATCTTCAGAACGCCATCAGGTTTCTGGCAACTATTCCTTCAAAATGACTTGCATTCCACATTGTAATGAAGGGCATGTCATAATGTGCATCTCTGATTCACTGATGTGTGTTTTCACTATTCGAGGTTAGAGCTGGCACAGATAACTAGCCACGGAATATTTATTTTGGGGGTTTTTTTGTTTTGTTTTTTTAAAGAAAAGAAAACAGCTGAATGAAACTTTTTTTTATTAAGGCCATCTTGCAGTTTTACAATAACCACTGATGTCATTTGAAAGTGTTCTTTCAAGAAGTAAGGTAGCAACAAAAAAATTGAACAGAGGAAGCTTTGAAACGTTGTGATCGAAGAGCATATTTTGCATTTTCCATGAATGGAATTTGTATCATGGAAAATATCTCAATGGTAAATAAACAAGGAAGTGGGAAATCTAAAAAGCTTGTGATGGGTGGTGACCACAAAAGAATGTAGTTTTTCCATAGCAACACGTTTGTTATGTGTTTACACGTCGTTGCCCTGAGCTTTGCACGGCAATTAAACAAAACATTTATTTAAATATTTATTGCAATTACACATACATAACCCCATCTTCAGATTGATTGAATTATTATGGATAAAAATGTCCTGACCTGTCCTGTCCTTTATACTGATAGTATAAGAGTAGTGGCCTCTGCTGCTTCCCTTCTTTGAAGATTTAAACCTGTTTTACCTGTTTTAATTCAAGACAGTCCCCTTAAAACAACATTTAGGAATGATAATAGTGGAGGAGAGGTAGCTGTTGCCAGGAACAGTTTGCTATCAACACAAAAGCTAATGACTCAAAGTATCCGATGCTTCAGATGTGCTGCGTTTTAGACCTGGAGCCTGTGGCACACGTGTTAAAGTTTGACAAAAACAACATATTACAACTAGTAAGAAAAAGTTAAAATATGTCAGTCTGGCCCCATTAGTGTAAACTAGACCAGTTCAAACAAATGTCCCAAATGTTCTAAACTGTTTTGACTAAACTGAAGGCTGTGGGAGATGCATGTGTGTGCACTTCTGAATGTATACGAAACATGCAGTGTGCAAAACAAAGCCTACTACTGTCCTCTTGCATGTGTACATCAAAAACCAGTCAGACACTCGTGTGAATCTATATATATGCTCTTTATTTACTTTTCCATCAGCCGTTAAAATACCTCATCTGGTTACAAAGGGGCATTTACCTATGAGAGGGCAACTCAACTTATATCCAAGAATCTGAGTGAATCTGAACACAGCATGGAAAGGTTAAGAAGAGATTTGTACATAATTCAAAAAAAGCACCCAATAAGTGTGTTAATGACTAATTTAACAATCTGTTCATTTAGTTTGTGAAGGCATTACATAAAATTCGCTTTTCCAAAATATAGCCTGTGTTCCATGTAGGCACACATCTCAATATGAATAACTCACTGTATCATTTTATTATTTTTCCTGGCTTTGACTGTGCCTTAAATCATGGCTGGACGTATGATTGAGCACAGGCAAACTACCAAATTGACTAAAATTATACAGCTACTGCTTCTGAAATATCCAGCATATCAAATACTGAAAAAACACCCTTAAATCATTTCCTCAGCATATTCATGTAGAACATGTTTACCATGGTTTGTGGTTTGAAAGTATATCTGAAAATGTGCCATGCTGAATAAGGAGGAAGAGAAAATGCCACGCCAATCCCTTTGTGATTTTTAAACCTTTATATAAACCTTAATCAGGAATTCTGCACATTGTATGAATTCCTTAACTCAAATTTGACTAGCAAGTCACTGCGACATCACGCAAAGCCAAGTCTTTATCAAGCATGCATAGCCCTGAATAGTGGGTTAAAGCTTCTTGATGCAAGGCGACAGTGCTGTCCACTGCACCACGCTGCCTTTTGACGTTCATTGGCTTCCATTCATTTCCATACAATATGAAAATCAGTGAGCAGCCATTTGAAACTTGCCTTGGAACATGGCAAAACGCATAACTAAAACTTCCTAAATCCTATGCAATCTGTACTTTGTATCCTAAGTTAGAGTTGCTGTGGTGTTGAGCTGTATTGCATTACAACGATGAATAATAAGTTGATGTAAAGTTATCAGTGTATTAGAAGATAGTTCAGCAGCAGTTTGGTTGATCCGATGTACGTGTAGTGTTGATACACTACACGTACAATGTAAAAGTAAACTAACATTTTACAAAAACTTAAGTCAAATTCAGTGCCAAAGAAACATTTTATTTCCTCTTTCTACAGAGTATTTGGATTCTACAAGGGAATCCTACCTCCTATTCTGGCAGAGACACCAAAGAGAGCAGTCAAGGTGAGACAAAGGACATGGCCGTTTGTTCACTGACGGCCGCAGTGATGCAACGCTCAGGATCTGGTGTCTTTGCAAACTGCTTCACTCCCATATGAAAACACTCAAACCACAATCGTTCTAACATGGTACACACGTGTTGATTAAACACATGACGCCCTCTGCCATGTCTGCCTCCTCAGCCAGTCCTGTTCGTTCTGTTGGTCTTCCAAATATTGACTTACAGGCATTTGAAAGAAAGCCATCTCTTGAGAGCCATCTTTGGATATTTGTAATGAGGTTTAGCATTTGGAGCTAACGTGTAATGGGGTGACAGGGATTGGGGTGAGCGGGGGGGGGTGGCGCAGAGGGCCCTGATGCTTGGCATAGAACACCTCTGTAATGAGATGCTGGAAACAAGGATGTGTGAACTTTAAAAGTAAGCACTCACACTGAGAAGATGGGGTAATCACTCACATTGAGAACAAAGCTAGGTGGTGAGAAATGTCTGGAGCCAGAAAACAAATTAAAGCTGTGATTAAAACGGTCTTGCTGGCATTTTGCCCTTGGTCAAATAAACAGATCCGTGGATCTGTCTCCTTTTGAGACTTTTGTCTTTCCACAAAGATCAAGGTCTGAAATTCAAAGCGTACCGTCATTTCATGTTCATTTACTAAATACATGCAATCTTCATGTAGTTTCCCCTTTCCTTTTGTGTGTTTTTAAGGTAGCTTTCTTTATGTACACCATATGTGGGTGTGTATGTGTGCACAGATGTCACTTTCTGACAGCGCTTTTATCCTGATCTTTCCCACTGCAGTTTTTCACCTTTGAGCAGTACAAGAAGTTGCTGAATTTGACCCCTTTGTCTCCCGGTGTGGTGAGTCTTCCATCCAGGGACACCTGAATACACTCTCACTTGAAAAAATAAATACGCACGCACACCGGATTTGGAATAATGTTTTAGAGTATAAAAACAGCTCACCTGCCAAAGGCTTTTAAAACAAAAACAAATGCCAAGAATAATTTTGCCAGGCAAATGAATTAATAAAAATGTAAATGTCCTTGTTAACATTTCGTTTTCAGTGCTGTTTCATGTAAAACTTTTAGTAATGCAGGAATAGGTTTAGAAGGGAAATTCTTACTCATTTTGTGTTTTTTATCTTGGTCACACATTGGACAAGATAAACATGAAATGATTTCCAGAGCTTAAATTAATACTGTTGGCACAGTGCGAGCAATTCAGCACACATTTAGTCATTTATGTAGCTGTCAATGTCATTTTCAGAACTTCTGAAACAAACCCTGAATGTTCCACTTTCACCTCAGTTTAGCATTTAAATGTATGAAGCAGCATTTATATGTAGTTGGCACTCAGTTTGGGACATCAGCTTGTCATCAGCTGTGATCAGTGTGGCACTAATGACTCCATGTCTCTGGCTGAACCTTTGCTTTTATGAGCTTCATTCCCAGCAACAGAGCAGCCACAAAAACTACAAGCGTTTGTTCGGTGCTGCTACGTATGTGTTAATCCAGTATAACTGGCAGCTTATTAGAAGGCTTTTTTTTAAAATTACACAAGTAATAATTGCTTTGTTTTCATTTAATTGACTCACACTGTGTGAGAATCTATTCAGATTTTTTTTTTAAATTGAAGATAGGAAGGAGCTAAATGTTGCATAACAGCAACAGTTACCATAAGACTACGGTGCAGACTTAACATTGGGTAGGTGCTGCGTTTTGCCCATGCTGTATGTTGTGTTAATATAAAAGACAACCCAAATCTGTAACCTGGAGTCACAACAGCAATCATAGTGCTTGCACTCGGTATAATCCTGGAATCTGCAGTCTGGTTTGTCCATTGACAATTTGATTAATGCTTATTCAAACAAAATGAGTGTGCACCTTCACTGCTGACAAAGACGAAAAATCACTTTGCAATTCTACAATGAATGTAAAGCAAGTAGAAAAGCTATGGCGGTAACAATACTGCCTGTCTGCTGTGACATTCAGTCATTTTTAAATAAGCTCAGCCATATGGGAAGTCAGACCTTACAATTTAAAACAGCAAAAGGAGTCCAGCAAAGTTTGTGACATGCTAGAAATCTAAAAGTTGAATTCCTTCCCGACCTCAACTGCACGTCCAACAGCAACTAATCCCAATTCAGGAAAAAAGGCGGTTAAAAATCAGTGTATTAAAATTTCAAGTTCCCATTTAGTTAACTTTAATCACGTTATTTTATTGCAGTGTGGCTACACTGGGACAACCCACTGGGATTATATCGTTTATATCGTAGCACCTTTTTCTCTTCATCCTCAAGTTAAGCAGGTGGGATTCTTTATAGCCTGGACATAAACACAGATTGCCTCTTAACATCAAGATGAACCCACAAAACTTCATAGTCACCACTTCTTTCAAACCCCGATGTTTGGAAGTAGAGCCAAAATAGTCTAATATTTAACACAGTACTTTAAAACCAACTTGACCAACTTGCTTGGCGGTTGTTAATTCTGGAGACTGGTTACACCACAGGCCATGAGGTAAGAAGATGTTTCATCCTTCTTGAGTAATTGGTTTTCTGTTATATTGAGTCAGAGTTTTAAGCTAGAAAGATTTGTATTGGTGGGGTGTGGTCACCGCACACCACCTATTCAGGTGGCAGCCAAGTGTCAGCCATGATGGATGGCTTACCTGTAGCTCAGTGTCAAAGCCGCCCCAGCGTGGAGAATATCCTCAGCTTGTTTTTACAGCCATTTCTGGAGTAATGTTTACCTGTCCCATTCATCATGCCCTCTTCCCACTCTTCTTATGCCTCCTTCTGACTATCTTCTTTCCACCCCTTCCTCTTCCTCAAGTACCTCTAACCCCATTCCCCCCAGAGGCCCTCGCATATCAAGTACTGTAATCACATCAGATCATTAGTGCAAGTGAATTACAGATTGGTTGTGAATGGTGCTCTCTCTTCCCCCCCTATTCAGCATGGCACAGCTGAATGCCTTCACTCTGATTAATGAGGACACACACAGTAATAATACAAATAAGGAATTAAAACGTGGCTGGCTGGCTGTGTAAACATCGCGAGGCATGTCTGAGAGGATGGGTCCCGGGGCTCTGACAGCAGGATAAAGAGGCAGGAAGAGTAATGAGCTATAGACACGTTCTTGACATGTTCCCATTACGCCTCGCTCTGAGCACGCATGCACGCACACATGTACACACACACATGTACACACACACTTAGATGCAGAAATAGACAGACCAATGTAAGTACATGCAGTGTTGCAACAGCCAGTTGTATACAATTGGTGCTACATTAGTGCATGTTGATTGTGATGAGATGAATTAAAGCAGAAAATAATTTTTTGGCTTCTTCAGTGCAAGTTTGTTACATTGCTCACATTCCTACTTTCTACTCACCTTCCTCTCATTCCCATCTGTCATCTGGCATTTTGTCTGATGATAAACACAGGCGTCTTAAAGCATTTGTCAAGAAGTAACAATGATGGCTGTGACGAATACATATTTTAGACAAGACAAAAAGACTCAGAGAACGGGTTTCTGGAAATGAAATAACAACGGCAGCTCTTGTAACCCGGGCACGTTGTCACTCTTCATTGTCTTCATCAGTTTATCTAGTTTGCTCTGTCTCTACCCAAATATTATCTCCACATTCTGAGTCCTAAATCACGTCCAACTCCCCTTTAGGCGCTGTCTGCAGCAGGGCTTGGTTGTGGCTTGACTGAGGCTTTAGTGATCAATCCATTCGAGGTGGTGAAAGTCAGTCTCCAGGCCAACAGGGATTCCTTCAAAGAGGTTGACTGAAATAAAATATTGTCATAATGTGTAAAATATTGGTAATCTACACATCTTTCCATAGAAATCTGCTCACGTGTGTTTCTTTCGAATTCAATCTTTCCAATACAGCAACCCTCCTCTTTTGCCCAAGCAAGACAGATAATTAAGTCAGACGGCTTTGGACTGAGGGGCCTTAATAAAGGATTAACATCAACACTGGGGCGCCATGGAGTTTTCAACATGATCTACTTTGGCTTCTACTTCAATGTCAAGGACGCTATTCCTACCAACCCGGTAATATGCCAATCATAATCTATGATCACACACTTACTTGTTTTGGGGGTTTTTTTCCAAACCACTTTAACCTTGCTTTGACATTGGTAACCATGACTACACCTAGTTTTTTTGCTATCCATAGGCTATGTGATATGCATGTGTGCAAACAACCTTGCCACAGGGAAATACCAAATGTATTTAACAGTATTATTAGTTAGCCTGACTGGCATGGAGGGAAGGAAGCAAAAATCAGAGAGGACTTGTAAGATCAGCCCCACTAATACCTCTTCTGTTTGCTCTTCATAACATCCTCAAAGTTTCAGATTACACATCCGGCAGTTCCTGATGGCCCAAACAAAAGTTAATTTTGTTTAATGGAAACGTTACCATACGCCAGTTCCACATGTGCAAACTGGAGCATTAGATTAACTCCAATGAACTAATTGGAAGCAGACAACTGTACTATTTTCAAGAGTAGGTTACAGTGGGAGGCCAGGCTCTGCTAAATTTTCAACATTTTTCCAATGACGCATGATGTACCAAGTGGTCATCTTCTGTGAATGATAATTATGTGGCTGGATGACTCAAATAGCTCCCTTCTTAGATTGTGGCAGTTGCTTTTTGGGAATTATCCGTCTCGATGCACATTGATGGAGCGATCCTGTTTGTTAGATGCTAACAGTGGCCATTGTCGAGACAGCAAAAGCAGAAATATTGTGGACGTTGTGCAATTTACAGGCTGAGCTGATAGTGGTGTTTCTTCAAAGGCCTTGTGTCAGCAACATGAGCAATGAGCTTGCAACTCAAACTTGTCTGCAGTCGAATTCAGACTGTCGAGTCCAGGTTTCTCTCATGTGGCCTTTTGACTAACAGAGGAGGCAGATAGCACACTGCCATCATTCACAAGTGAATGTGTGAGGAGATGTTTGCTTAAGGCTGTTAGGAAGTGGGTTGATGGGTGTACTTAGGCCACAGTTACGTTGCCCCCTTCTCCACAACCCACTTGAAAAAAATAGAAAAAGTGGGATTAGCTGTTGATTTACCACGGCTCTCAGGGTGTCCAGCCGCTTGAGAAAGGCCTGGACCAGAGAGGCTGCTGTCATTTGTAAAAATATCCTGGCCAATTAGCTGTCAGAGCTCTCTGAGTCTGGGCTTCTTTGGTACAGTAATACCCCTGTGCCGAGTCACAGCCCAATTACCCAAATTGTCCCCATATGCCTCCCCAGTCTGCCTGCATGAACCCTGTTTATAAATCCTCTGTCTTGGCTCCCCGGTGAACATGTGCTTCTGCTCAGCCAATCAGAATGCTGCACTGCAGTCAGGAAGCACTAATCTGCCCCCCGCTACCATAAAATGATCAGGGCTTTCATGCAAGCTTTGCAATCATATGCACAAGTCCCCTCATGCTCTCCCCCACATTCGCTCATAGACGTAGACACATAATGTCTCAGCGCTGACTTTGTCAACTCCCTGTCACTACTTTCTTTTTTATTTCCAAAAGCTCTATTTGCTGTTTATGTTTTATGGGACCAAATTTAACCCTGTGGTTCACACTTTAAAAATATAAGTGTCACCCTTAAAAAGGCATACCTAATTTTATCTCCTCCTTTTTCAGGACCCTACCCTAGAGTTCCTGCGCAAGTTTACCATCGGCTTGTTGTCTGGGACCATCTCCTCCTGTGTGAATATTCCCTTCGATGTAGCCAAGAGCCGGATTCAGGGCCCCCAGCCAGTGCCAGGAGAGATCAAGTACCGCACCTGCTTCCAGACCATGGCACTAGTGTACCGCGAAGAGGGGTATGGACAAATGTGGGGAGGAGAAAAACAGGGGATGTTCGGGACAAAAGCTGGAATGCTGATTCATTCAAGAATTAATGAGCCACTTTGTCTGTTTTGTTAGCAGTCGATAGTTGGTTATCTGCCAAACTGGCTGTCAGAGAAGACGAATGTACCAGCTGGAGCTACAAGTTAGCAGGGTTTGATTGTGTGGAGTGACTTTCCTACACTAAATACAGCAAAAAAGCACGAATAGCTTCATGCAAAACTGTGATCCAATGAATGGAAACTAAATAATGATGTTAGATTCTGGGCTGTATTCCCCATGAGTACGATCATACATTTCTGCAGTCTGTCAGTTGTTTAGTAAATGTTAACATATTTTCATGCCTCAAAGAATGACAGCTCTAAATGGAAGCTTCAAGGAAAGATGTATGTTATGCTAGCAATTGCCTCAGGCTTTCCACTTTCCCCCATGCTGCTCCGCTAGACAAGGGCCAGCGATATGTTTGTAGTTAGTGGATGTTGTTAGTATAGAGGTTGTTGCAAGAATGGCACTGAAATGTTGTCGTTACAGGGGTGCATGGATGGTGCCCCATGCGCCACATCCAGTCCCCTTCTCTAACACAACACAGTCCCAGCTAATTAGTGGTCCCTATGGGAGACGTCGTTAAGCAGACCCTAACGAGCCGCACGGCGCTCCACGGGTCAATCTAATCAGACAGAGGGCCAGGGAGGAAGTGGGTCGAGCCTTATTAACGCCATCAGTGGCGGGGGCAGGGAGCGGGACAGGGAGCACGAGGCGGAGGCGGACAGCCACTGATCACCTTGAATGCATTAAGGAGCAGGTACTCGGTAGCGCTGGCCGCTGGACCCTATATACCTGATGGAATGACAGACAGGCAGCGCAGCAGACAGACAGACTGACAGACAGACAGGCTCTCACATGTATACTCATTCATGCATTCACAAGCAAGAGCACAGGCACATGTATACAACCAGCATATGGAAGGACTCAGATCAGTCAAACACTTCCAAAAATAAATTGATTTATTATGTAAAAATGACTCTATTCAGAACTTGCTTATTATAATAGCAAACTGTAAGTATTGATGCATTGCATGCATTACATCTAATAAAGCTGGGGCTTGATTCATGTATTGCTAGGCAGCTTCTGAATTTCTTTTTTAGATCCAATGATAATAGATTATAATACACAAGAGTTCACTTACACTGGCTTTCTTTGAGATCTGCAAAGCATCTAAAATGATATTTAATAAATGAAGTGATGTCAGAGGTTTAAAATTTGCCTCTGAGTTGTGCTGGATTTGACATATGAAGTAGGACACATGAGAAGTACTTATGTGCAGTCTAAAATTTACACACCACCACTCCATTTGCACTAATTTACATTTCAACTCCATCGCAGCACAGCCATTACGCAAACTGAAACGATTTACATGTTCTGGATTCTAGCTAAAATCTTTGCACATTAACACCTTACAGCTTTTCTTTCCTTTCTTTGCAGGTATTTGGCATTATACAAGGGATTGGTTCCCAAGATAATGAGACTTGGACCAGGTAAGAAGAAAAAAAAATTCCTCGTGTTAATATTGAAATCATTGTCATCCTCACAGCTTTCCTGTTGCAGCAGATAAGACTGCTGAAGAGAGCGATTAAGCAAGAAAAAGCCTTCCCTTAAGCATATTAGCATTTCAACTTTGCATGCAGTGCTTCCAGTGAAATAAGGCTGTAGCAAACACTATTTCCTTCTCAGCAGATTCCAAGGAACAGTATTTACATAATATTCCCCAATAATAAGCTTTAAATGGAAATACAGTGAGCTAGAAATACCGTCCACCTCCTTTGTAAACAAGTGCTACAAGCTTTTCACATGTTCCTGCTCTCAGAAACTCACTGGGGAAGTAAAGCCTCTGAAAATCAAATTCACAACGGGTATTTCTCTTATATTCTCTCACAGGTGGAGCAGTAATGCTGTTGGTCTATGAATATGTGTCTGAGTGGCTGCAGAGGAACTGGTAACAAAACAGGGAACCCCACAATGGTGCCTTATGAACTGTGCCTTATTGCAAGTATTGTTACTTGAATAAGTTAGATTTTTTTTCTTAAATACAAAAAACCCAAAATACCAAATCAGCATTATATTATGTTTTAAAAAGCAGATTTCATTTCCCACATTCAAAATGCTACAACACATTTTGAGTCTGAAGGAACTGTTCTAATACCTTAAAATAGTCTTCATTGAGTTTAAAATCATTGACAAATCAGTGTTCCTAATGAAGTCATGCATTAACATAGTGTCTTTACATTTCATTGGTTGTAGTTCTCATGTTTTTCTTCTTTTTTGTGCTCATCTCACTGGTTTGGTGCAACAATCACAGATTAAATAGACAAAGACAAAGTAGACTGAGCTGAACGCTTCAGAATATGAACATTTTTATGCTTATCCTGATTTCTGTCTATTTACAACTATACTTCAACATATATCCTCAATTAAGATGAGTTTGTACAACGATCAATCTCCAGTCTCCTATTTTATCACATCATAATATATATATATATTCATCTTTTTATGGTATATGTATTCATAAATGCAAATACAAGATGCAATCAGGAAGTTCAGACACAGTGCGCATAAAACAGTAGAAATCATATTTAAATTTAAATTCAGCAGCCTTCAAGAACACCTCATTGTGCAGCAAAGCACTGCTCCCAGTGCTACTGCAACTTTTGGAGGTTCCTTGGAAGTCTGCTTTTTGATTACACCTATCTTCATCCATGTACTACTAAGCCTTAGCAGAAATAGTGTTTTAATGTCTAACAAGAACACTGATGTTATGAAAGCTTATTGCAAAAGTTATTAATGCATATGTTTTTGCCAGTTTGTTCTTAATACACGGATCAAACTTGGCACCAGAAGCCAATGGCATCGCAAAGGCACACGGAGAGTTTCTTTTGATGTCGTTCCATAATTATACTGGATGCTGGGGGCAAACCGTCCTGCCTGAGACAATCAGTCACAAAACTGTCAACATCTTTGGGAGCTTCCTGTTTTCCACGTTATTTAAAAAAAAAAACAACAACAACAATTTAACATGTAGTTCAGTTTTTTCAATAATCATTTTCTGGCTTTGTCAAGATAGGTGCTATCACTATCGAATCTGAGTTTTATATGTTTTCAAGGTTTTATTGATAAAATGTTGTGTGGATTTTCCTTTTTAAGTCCTTCCTGAAAAAAAAACCCTCAAAACAAAAACAACAACTGGACAGTTCTTGCATGTACTGGTAACAAATAAAAAGAAAAAATGAACCCACATTTTCGTCACTGTATAATTGTGTGTTGCGTGTCCTGTAACAGTAGATTCGTGTTGTTGTTTTTGTCTTAACTGGGACCGTTTCATCTTGGCATCAATATAAGAATATCCCCTTTCTACAGTTTGCCACTTCATCACTCTCCTTTTTGTCATCCGAGCGCTTCGTAGCCAACTTAGTGTCAGTCTTTCTCTCTCTGGCGGGTAGTCAGCGCTCGAACATTTAGTGCAAGCTAAAATAACAAGCCCCAAGAAATTCAAATGGGGCTGCAGGGATCGAGGGGGTTACCACACACATTCTCTTTCTCTCTCTCTCAGTCTGTTTCTTATACAAATATTCAAAAACACATATATACACACACCTGTTGCACAGCCTTAGGCATAGTGGCTTCTCTAGGAGACTCATCTTAACTTCATCTGGTAGCTGGTATAGTGAGCCACGTTGGCATTTGACAGTCATCATTAATGTGGGAGTCACTCTCTGCCAAAATGGAATGGCTCCTAGTTTTTGCCTAGGGGCCCGCGGTGAGAGACTAACAACTGTGGCTTGCAGACTGATGGAATTGTAAGCGCTTAACCTGTCCTTTATGTAATGGAGTTCTGAATCTGTATCTGTATTTTAAAAGCTTGTGCAACTTTACCATGAATTCCCTGCACACTGCAATAATCATAAATCTTATAAGTCTCCCTCACGTCATTTTCTTTGCGCCCTTTTTATGGATTTTCCCACCCTCATCTGTAACATCTCAATTCAGTGGCTCCGCTTTGACAGGGCTGCAACCTGGGCATGGCTCTACCTGCCTTTCCCAGTGCAAATGTGGTTAATGATTAGTATATTAAAATGTCTGCAATTTACACTGTAGGTAAAAAACAGTCAGCCATGCATATACACACACACAAAGACACGGCACCAGACGTGATTTTTAAAAACACGGCACTTATTTTTTTCCATTTTGCTCACCTGTCTCCTCACTGTTGTTGTTTTAAGACATTAAGAAAACATTCTGGCTGTTGTCAGCTGCTTTTAAAAGTGTTCATTGAGCAGAAGCACGCATGAAGTCCCGTATTCAGCCGGTATTACTTTCTCTGCTCAGTGTTACTCTGTAAATGGCTGTCTTGCTTCTAATTGCATGCGGAGAAGTAAAGATAACCATATGACACTGAAGTCAGACTCAACTTAATTAATTGTAAACACGTGTCTGCCCTTATTATATTTTTTTTTAAGTACGCCTTTTAGACCTCTCTTTCCATAAAGCTGACCAACATTAAACTACAAGAGCAGGGATTGTTAGACTTTCGAGAAGCTTCCTCCTGTCTAGAAAACACACTGTTCCTGTTTTTTGAATACTGTTGTCAATTAAAACAACCACATTTTAATTTTGTTCTGTGAGTCAGACTAGACTAACAAGGCTGTGTGCAGTTCATGTAGCTTAGTTGAAAGGAAAAGTTGTTTGGCCTTGTTGTGTGTCGGCTGAGGTAAAGAACAGAGCGTGTAACGACTCTTTCATGCCACTCAGAGACTTAACTATCATTTGCCGTTCATGATGGATGGTGGATGGTAAAAGGGTGGCCGTGATGGCTGGCTGGTACAGCGAGTGAACATCACGTCTCTGTGATGTGGTTCACATACGGTCAAAGAAACACTACGATCCCTGAGCAACGGTCCGTGACCACTGGATGCGGGGAAGACTGCTTTCCAAGTCAAATCAGCTCCTGCATGGGAAGGACTGTTGACACTGTCACGTGCAGAGGCTGTTTATGCTGTATCGCGGGAGGGAAAGAAAAACTGAGCCGCGCACCTACTGAACCATCGGCAGCAGGTAATGCTATGCGAAAGAGCTGGGTAAGCACCTATATCAAGTTATCAATCTACAACTTCAACTAAAGCCCAGTTTGTGTAAATCTGTGGTTTCCACTGCAGGGCTTGACAGGGCTTGCCAGACTCACTCGTAATTTATTACACTACACTCTTCCCCCCTCTACACTTTCAGAAAGTATTTTTGCATCATTTTGCAAACATGTCATTTGTCAGATGGCCTGTGTGCTTTTCCTTTGTAATGAACACGTTGAGTTGGCCCTGACAGCCCTATTTGGCCCTTTATGTGGCTGCTGGAGGTTCGTGTTTGGGTCACATGTCTGATGACCTTGGAAACCGCAGGCCAATGAGCCTATTTGTGGCTCTCTGAATGTTCATGGACTGCACCTGACCCCAGGAGTCTAGGACTCTTGGGCACACAGATCTCAAATTTGTTTGAAAAGCTGATATTTTTATTTACTATTTTTCCCACAAAACCATATGAAAAAAATTCTATGACTTAAAATGGTTGAAAATTGTAATGCATGGCATTAGGCTGTTATTATTATTTTTAAAAGACAGCAGGGCTTTACTGGAATTAATATTCTATGTTTCAAATGATAAATATACACTGCATTTTGACTTTTTTTTTCAGTTTGGTTGCAGTGGGAAATGTCCAAATTTCTCTTATGTTTTGCACATTTTATTCATTTGTGTTTTATTTTTATTCATATTTTTTTATGGGAATAATCTGTGAAAATAGTGTGAACCCAAATTACTCAAATTGTGTTTTTGTCACTCTAATGTACAGGTATAATTTTTTATGATTACAGAAAGGACCGCATTAAATGTAATGAGGTGAGAAGACATGTACCCATTTTTAATGGCCAAAGGACTTTCAAAGAATTGCTTCAAGTGGTCGCAAACACTCGTGCTCCCAAAGCATTTCTGATGAAGTTTCCTAGTGAGCCGTGACGCATGGTAATAGAAAATACAGGCCTTGTCAGCGTGCACATGTCTTTTTTTTTTTCTTTTATGGAAAGCAGTTTCCTGCTCATGTAAAACAGGCCAGTAGGCCACAATGCCCTGAGTCTAGAATAGCTGGAAGGAAAAGAGATGAAATATTTTTAGCTGTGATGGTGCACTTGTTTTCTGTTCTCCGAATAATAAGTGTTGAGGAATCCCCAAACAGCCAGAAAACTCCACGAAGACCAATAAAAGCCAAACAATTTAATAAGATACATTCAATTTCATTGTGCAACATTTGACAATTAATTATGTTAATGCTCTAGACTCCAATGTGCCCAATGCCAATTCTGTCTAAATGTGCGTGGAGATGTCCATGCTTTCTGTAAGACTAATTGCACTTCATTCAACGTACCTTTAATCTAATAAATAAACTTCCCTTTGAAGCTCTTGCATAGGCTACACTTTTAGAGAAGTGGAAAACAACGCTCCATAACACAGTTACTTTTATCAAATCATAAACAAAAAGCATACAAACATAAAAAACAATAGCAATTATTATTATTATTAAGCACCCTGAAACACTAATGTAAAGTTTTTTTTCCCTTTTCTTTGATTCTGTATTCATGAAGTTATACATTACCCCATTTTGCCCAGAGACATTTGCAGATGTGCAGTAAAGAATCTGAGAGGAATTATGTTGATGGATGGTGTAGCAGTCATATGTCAGTCTTTGGAACACCTGTCCTGCAAGTACTTTTAGACAACACATTTGCTGTGAAAACTGACAGGCTTTTTATTCGTTGTGTGTCTTTGGTCTGACTGCGCTCAGCTCGGAGGGGCATCATATACCCAGTGGCGCAAACATGAGTCCTGGGGCCGAGTCCTTCATAGAAAGCTGGCAATGGGAGTGGAAAACAGTTGCCACCACGGACAGACTTGGAGTTGAATGTCCTCTCCGTCTCTCACCCAACCCACTCTCCTTCGCACCCTCCCGCCCCCTTTCTCCCATCAGTCTGTGGAGTTGACTTCACAGCGCCGAGGCGGCGACTGGGTGGATGGCGTCACGGTTGGCTGACATCCTCTTGAAGGCCAGTGGGGTGGCGATGTCACAGCTGTGGGGAGATAGAGCATTGCCACTGGCTGGCTGCCACGTGGGTCCGGTCACATAGGCCGACGTGGTGGCGCTGTACCCCATGTAGGGTGACACTTGGGTGGGAGGGTGGTAGGGAGGGATGCTGGGTGCTGTGACATAGCTGTTCACTGTGGGCAAGCCATTCGGCGTCTGGGATTTAAAGAAGAAAGGGGAAAATAAGATTAAGATAAGAGCCTCTTAATTATAGGTTTAAAAAGTCACTAATAACTCATTTCATCATTAGTCATTTTCCTTTTCTAAAAAATGATCAAAAAGAAATTGTTTGCCACAGACATTTTCCTAAATAGGGACTGTAATAAGTTCAAAAAATATCTGCCCATCCCAGGGAAACACACAAAAGCAGCTGCTGTAATTAGAAAAGGAAAGAAAAACTGGGGCAAGCTGTAGAAGAAAGTGAAAGTGATGTTGGTTGAATTATAAACAGCAGAGAGCTTAATTCTAACTTCACAGCTACCACATGAAAATAAATATTTTCCCAGTTTCGGGAAGCATACGTGCACTATTTGGAGCTTGTTTTCTACTCAAAAGTGGACATTGCACCAGTGTTGTTGATAAACTGCGCCATATGATGGGAGACAGGCTGGTTGGGGGCGGCACTTAACGGATGTCATGACAGACTGAGAGTGAAAAGGCACGCACAGGGGAAATATCATGGTTCGAACCAGGAATGGGCTTTGCTTCTCTGGCACAGCGACAGGACTTAACTTGAGGAATTCACCAAAGCATTTCAGCAGGGAGGCAGAATTTCTGTTCCTGGGTGGTCCCGGACTACTGAGAATTATTTCTATACAACTGGGATCTTTTCTGTTCCTCTGACTTATTTTCATAGACTTGCTTGACTGACAAAGTCACTGGCAACTATCTTAAAAGAGATATGAAAAATTATCTTCCTAACTGGCATTTGCGGTGATTATAAAAACACAAGTACAGAGAAAAAACTGTGTGTGTGTGTGTGTGTGTGTG